AAGGCCAGGGAAGTTCAAATAAACTGAATAGAGAAAAACAGAGGGCGCACCGGCCTAGTGCATTACCTTAAAAAATGTATTTATTAAACAATAAAAGTAGGTATTGTACTCACAAAATGACAATATAGTCAAAGGCACATCGTGAAAGAGCAGCTCTGTCCAATCCGCACTACGTGTCTGTCCGTAATGGGAACTCAGGACCTCCGACAGGTTGACGCGTTTCAAGGACTTGCCTCTTCCTCAGAATTTACCTTTACTGGGTTGCCAGCTTTAAGTCTCCCCCTCTCTGGGCACTTGGCCTCCTCAACCCCACCCTGCCCTCCTCACTACCAGGGGAGGAAGGGATACTTGGGGGGGGGTTAGAGAAACCAGGCGTAGGGGAGGAGGGGGAAGGGGAGACCAGGGGATAGGGGAATGTGGTGAGGAGACAATGAGGGGATGGGGTGAGGAGATAATGGGGGACACTGGGGAAGGGGAGATAATGGTGGAACAGTGGAGGCAAAATCTTCTATACATGGCTGCACTGTGAGGATATTTTTCGGACATTTAGTGAATTGTGTTGTTTTTCTGATAAAGTTTCCTCTGTGTCGCCTCCTCACATGGAGCTCTCAGTGGATTTATTCTCCTGCTTTGTGTGGGATGAATATTGTAGGTAGAGAACTCATACAGATAAATGAGTGAAGAGAACTCTTTTTGTGTCTTGTGACCCCCATCTGTGTTCACTGTCTTTCATTTTATTAGGGTAATTTGGTTTATTACTTTGCTATTGCTTCGGAAATTTGAATATAGTTCGTCAGATTGAAAAGACCTAGATGTGTTTTATTTTGTGCTCCTAAAATCTGCAATTTAATTTTCCCCAAAATTTTATTTTTTTTCCTGATTTGTTCTAAATTGTGTTTAGATTTTTAATACCGTGTCTTATGGATCACTCTGGGAATTTTTTATTGGTACATTTTGGAATGTACTATGGTTGCACTTTGGAAAAAGAGCAAACAGGAGGTGCAAACCCCTAGTGCATTATCCAAGATATATTAAAAGTAAAGAGGATGAAAACCTACTCACAAACATGGCATAAATGTAAAGCTAAGTAGAATGGTAGAGATGGCCATAACAATGGAGGGGTGTCCGACTGTCTGTAAAGTTGGCTTACTGACGCGTTTCGGGGACGAGGCCCTTTCCTCAGATCTGAGGAAAGGAACTCGTCCCTGAAACTTGGTGCTGACAGTTGGACACCCCATCATTGTTATGGCCATCTCTACCGTTCTACTTAGCTTTACATTTATGCCATGTTTGTGAGTATGTTTTCATCCTCTTTACTTTTAATATATCTTGGATAATGCACTAAGAGTTTGCGCCTCCTGTGTGCTCTTTTTCCAATTGTTGATTTTCCTATCTGAGGAGGGCAGCATCTCGGAAAGGCTATCCATAGGCAATTTTGGTCCTGGTTCCCCTGGCTTTCCTTTGGCATTGGATCCCTGGAGCGCTGGAGAGTACATTCTGTTATATGATTGCACTTTCTTTAATGCAAGTTTATTTATCTTTATTTTCTGGATTTATTACACATTTATTTTGAACATAGTGTAGAGAAATTCTGTGACAAATGCAGTGGGCAGTGCAATATATGGGGGCTTGTGTGGGTGTGGCTTGAGTATGGGAGGGGACACAGGGGGCCTATTGCCTGGGGGCCCTATGAGTTGTCAGTCTGCCCCTGAACAGGCTGTAGAACGCCAAAGTTATTTACAAATCTTGACTTTTTATAAAACCTTAGGTGCTATAACCACTACAGAGCTCTTTGACTTAAGCAGCCATATTTCAAGGATGCTTTACATACATGCCTGGTACTTTGATGCCCAAGACCTATAACAGGATTACAGCAGCTGAGTAAGTAGCCGTGACCACAGTGGAGTACAGAAGGATAAAGCAGGAGGATAGGCAGAGACTGGCCAGAGGTAAAGTCTTGGAGGGTCAGAAACAGAGTGTTGGAATCCAAAGAAAAGCAGGAGGTATAGTCAGATGTAGCAGAAGTTAGGATGAGCAGAAGATGATCACGTGTCTTGTAAGGTTGGGAACAAGGAGTGAAGAACTATAGAGAGAAAGACATTTATATTTAAAATAGATGAATTATGAACAGGGGCGGACTGACCATTTGGAAACTCGGGCACTGCCTGAGGGCCTGGGGTCAGTAGGGGGCCCCATGAGATGCCCCTGGTACCTTTTTCATAGGCTTTTTTGTGTTTGGGCAAGGATACAGGGGCCCCATGATCCCCTATTGCCCGGGGGCCCCATGAGTTGTCAGTCCGCCCCTGATTATGAATGCTTGTTAAAGGACATAGACCCCATATATAGAGTGAAAGACCTATCAGTGCTGTGAGCACTAGCACTATTCTCTGCCATAGGCTTGGACCTATGTTTAAGGTAGAAGTGAGGGTATAAGTCACCCCACACAGCCAGGAGCGAGAGGAGAGAGAGGTAAGTACCTTACACCTATTCTTTCCCACCTTCTGAATCTACCTGTTGGTCATTGAAGACATTATTACAGTATAGTAAAACTTATAAGACTTATAGTTTCAGCTGCATATATCTCCACATTTAATAGTTTTGTCAAGTGCATTTCATTTGAGGTATTTTCTGCCTATGCAGAGATTAGTTTTGACATGTACCCTTCATTCAAGGTAATCTATGTCTATGCATTTTTCCATCATGCAAACATGTCAACTTGATTTCCATATAGTGCGTAACAAATGCTGCACTGAAGATAGACAACATAATGACCTGCCCAATAAAATGCATTTTATAGAGTTTCTCTATAACCTTCATGTATTTGGATTCCTAGCACATGCCAAAATGACTGTTTTAGTACCATGAAAATAGAACACTTGTACAGTTGCAAGAAAAAAGTATGTGAACCCCTTGGGATTACGTGGAGTTTTGCATGAATTGGGCATAAAATGTGCTCTGAACGTCATGTAAGTCACAACAATAGAAGAACACAGTCTGCTGAACATAATACTACACAAACATTAGATGTTGCCATGGTTTAATTGCACATAACATGTAAACATTCACAGTGCAGGGAGGAAAAAGTATGTGAACCTTTGGACTTAATAACTGGTTGACCCTCCTTTGGCAGCAATAACCTCAACCAAACGTTTTCTGTAGTTGCAGATCAGACCTGCACAACGATCTGGAGTCATTTTGGACCACTCCTCTTCACAAAACTGTTTCAGTGTAGCAATATTCTTGGGATGTCTGGTGTGAATCGCTCTCTTAAGGTGATGCCACAGCATTTCAATGGGGTTGAGGTCAGGACTCTGACTGGGCCACTCCAGAAGGCGTATTCTGTGCTGTTGCAGCCATTGTTTTGTTGAATGACTTGTATGCTTTGGGTCATTGTCCTGTTGCATCACCCATCCTCTGCGGCGCTTCAGCTGGCGGACAGATGGTCATACGTTTTCCTGCAAAATGTCTTGATAAACTCTGGAATTAATTTTCCTATCAATGACAACAATCCGTCCAGGCCCTGAGGCAGCAAAGCAGCCCCAAACCATGATGCTCCCTCCGCCATGTTTCACAGTGGGGATGAGGTTTGATGTTGGTGTGCTGTGCCTTTTTTTCTCCACACATAGTGTTGTGTGTTCTTCCCAAACAACTCAATCTTGGTTTCATCTGTCCGCAGTATATTCTGCCAGTAGTGCTGTGGAACATCCAGGTGCTCTTTTGCAACTTCAAACGTGCTGCAATATTCTTTTTGGACAGCAATGGCTTCCTCCGTGGTGTCCTCCCATGTACTCCATTCTTGTTTAATGTTTTCCTTGTTGTAGATGTGTCAACAAAAATGTTAGCATGTGCCAGAGATTTCTGTAGGTCTTTAGCTGACACTCTGGGATTCTTCTTTACCTCATGCAGTTTCTGCGCTGTGCTCTTGCAGTCATTTTTACAGGACGACCACGCCTAGGGAGAGTAGCAACAGTGCTAAACTTTCTCCATTTGTAGACAGTCTGTCTTACCATGGACACATGAACATCAAGTCTTTTGGAGATACTTTTGTAACCCTTTCCAGCTTCATGCAAGTCAACAATTCTTGATCGTAGGTCTTCTGAGAGCTCTTTTCTGCGAGGCATGGTTCACATCAGACAGTGCTTCTTGAAACCAGTAAACCCAACACAGGTGTGTGTTTTTTAAGGGCAGGACAGCTGTCAGCAACACATCCAATATCATCACACTGATTGGAGTCAAGGTTGGCTCACTCCTGGCTCCAATTAGCTCTGGGAGAAGTCATTAAGCTAGGGCCTCACATACTTTTTCCTCCCTGCACGGTGAATGTTTACATGTTATGTGCAATTAAACCATGGCAACATCTAATGTTTGTGTAGTATTATGTTCAGCAGACTGTGTTCTTCCATTGTTGTGACTTACATGACGTTCAGAGCACATTTTATGCCCAATTCATGCAAAACTCCACATAATCCCAAGGGGTTCACATACTTTTTCTTGCAACTGTACATTATGTACGATTATATACTAAACAATCAAAATAGATAAAATTGTACAAGGTTTATAATGCATACTGCAGATAAGTCTACACCATCCTATAGGCATGTTCTTTGATTCTGGTGTCACTTAACTGTCATTTGTTAATATTCCATTCACTGCTATGCAAATGTGTAATAAACACTCTAGTATGAAATAATTATCGTCTAACGTGTATCTGCATCTAGGGTACGCAATGGGTAGCTGCCTCTTAACTCTATAATGCCTTCTAGAACATACATGGCACCAAAGGGTTTACTGCAATCTGAGATTATCCCATTTGCTCAATATAAATAACACACATTAAACTGCACCAACCAGGTTCTCCAGGTTGCAGTGATGACAGTAATCCTATATTTCACTGTGGATTTATATATGTTTGCATGCACTGAGGAAAAACACAAATGAATATAACATGCTCACAATGTCTGACCATACATCCATTTTGGATCCACTAAAGCATTACATACCATTGGATACAGGACTTTTCACATGATTCTGTACAGTCTTAGAGCGAGTTCCATATTGCCCTGAAAACTCACTGGCTTGAATTGGCATGTTATTCCATGGAGCCTGTGCTGGGTGAATGGGATCATCAGCAGCACATGGAGGGCTCAGACTACCAGTCCAACTCATATCCAAGTCATGACGCTCCTCCTTAAGTTTCTCCCCTTCTTTGCTGACACGCTGGTAAACCCGCACAGTGCTGTCATTCAGCAGTCTCCTCATTCCAGTGATCTGTTTCTTGATTTCCATACCTTCATCCCCTGTGCAAATAACAAGAAAGATTAGACATGCTTTGGCACCCAAACCAACCATCCTCTGTCAGGATCATCTTTTTCTCACAGAACATTTTATGTGGACAGTAGCACAGTAGGGAATTATAGCAGGGAATACCCAAACACATAAGAAGCAAAGGCCTGACACAGCCCATCAGGCTCAGCCTATAAATTAAACATCACCTTTACAGTAGACCTATTTTAAACACATGGCCTTGTCTTAAAGCAGTCATCAACTTACCATTTTTACTTTTTAATTTGAAGAATAATAGAGATGTTATTCAATTCCTATTCATTTTTGGGCCTGGTTCACACTAGTATGATTTCAGATGCGACTTGAGTCTCACAGAATCGCATGACAAGGGGAATTTCACATCACATCAGTGTGAACCCGGCTGAAAGTTGGAATAAAATAGCATCACAGCAGTATGAACTTACACATATGGAAGAAAAATATATCTGAAATATATTTAAAAAATATTCTTCCCAAAGATATTGCCACTTATTTGAAATGCTACAATTTTGGACATATTCAATATATTTCAAAAGATTATTTTTAAAATATATTTAAGTATATTTTTCTTCCATGTGGGTAGCCTCAATGTTTTGTTTCTTTTTATTACAAAGTTACAGAGAGTCAAATTTTGATAATACTGATGCCTTCTACCTTTGGTAGGTTTTCAATTATACCATTATTTTCAGTTATAATAATAACTGGTAAAGCGAGAATGCATCCACAATGCACCCTCTGCAATCGAAGAAAAAATAGAGAAGAAAAGAGGAGAAAGGGCAAGCAAGGATAGTGAGGGGCAATGAAAGGTAATATTTAAAACTTTCAGATTGTTAACTATGTGCTCATCTATTAACTTCAAGGGAGTCCCTACCTACAGAGTAAACTGACCATACAATACAGAAGTACATACAAAATACACGTCAGCTAAAATGTAACTAATCAAGCACCACAACAAAAAATAATACATACTAATATTGCCAGCTCAGTAATTTTTTTAACATGAATGTGTCTGTACACATTTTAGACTAACTACTGATATAATTTTTTTTTGAGATAGCTGACCTTAAAGAAATATATGTTGAGTTGAGTAAAAAAAAAAACAATTCTGCTTTTTAAGGGCCCTTTCACACAGGCAGACTCCGTCAAGTGAATACGCTTGCTCAGCGGGGATCTGTCCGCCCTGAGCAGGCGGACACAGACACAGCCTGCTTTTCTCTATGGGGCGTTTGGATGATAATTGGACTGCCTGTCCATTTACATCTGACTGTCATCAGATCCGACAGATCGATGAGGATCGGATCCCCATCTGTCTGTTTTTAGTGGACTGGATCAGATGCAGGCAGGTGTAACCAGATACAAGCCCGTTTACATCTGCCTACCCATAGAGAACAATGGGTGGTCCGATCAGGTCCGTCTGAAAAACGGACCAATGGGGTCTGCCCATGTGAAAGGGCCCTAATAAACAGATGAAATTCTATAAAACATAAATACGTATTCAATTATAAATCATGTCCTAATTGATTATGCTGAATGACTGGTTGCTACAGTGTCGCTGTACATCATCGGTGAGTTCTCAACTCCCAGGGTTGTTTATAAAGTAATTGTATAACATACTGTAAAACCAGCACTGATGAACTGATTATACTGTATATTAATATATATTTAAAATCTGCTAAATATACTGTATCATTGCATGAACAGAGGCTTTTCTTAGTCTCTTGTGAGTTTCAGCATTCTATTTATTCTGGTTGCTATTTAGGTTTGAGCCACAGATATGTTTGTCTGTCTTCTGCCTTCCCTGCCCTTCCACTTGGTTTCTGAAAGCTAGTACTGGTGAACTGATTATACAATATATACTTAATCAGTAATGGTTCTGTATTATGTTGTATGCGGTATGGTAAAGTCATACAAAAATAACTTGTTAATAAAAACAGCTGTGAAATGACATCCAAAAGAAGAAAATATTGTTTTATGTGATAATATTTCCATTAAGATAAGCTTCTTCCATAATAAATTCTGCATTTCCTTCCCCATGTATCTGTTGTAATGAATATTCATGAATTAAATTCTAATATTAAAAAGCTCTAAAAGTGTACAGTGTTAAAAATAATAAAAAAAAACTGATGAATAGCTTTTACTAGAGAGCATTATTGTCTGGTTCTGGTCCTTTACAGCCTCTAAAGAATGGAAACATGGCTGTTATGAAGCCAGTAACCTTACTACAAACCTTGTGAAAGTGAAATCCTACTACACATACTAACACAATATGATTATAATGTAGCGCTACTCCCTTAAGAGCCGCAGAGTATTTTTGGTTTCCCTGTTTGTTCTGAGCCTGCTTTGGAAGTACAGCCCCTGCTGACACCACCATGAAACTTTGACCAGGCCACCTACGTTCCACCCACCTAGGAGCTCTACATGCGTGAATTGGAATTCACCTCTGTACGCAACGTATATGCACTTTTTACTATACTTTAAGCAAACCCAAAGAGTCCTGGGATTAGTAACACTTTAAACATCAATTCTAGCTTCTGAGATATCTCTCCCCAATTGTGTGAAAGTGGACTATCAAGAAGTCAGGCTAACTCACATTTGAGTTCTCAGTTTCTGGTAGCTGGGTTTAACTCTTGAGATTAAAACGTTTGTTATAAACAGTAATATCCCCATTTGAATTTCATTAAAGAATGGTGACAAATCTTCTGTGCACTTGATGGGGTCCAGTTTGTGCACATTAAAGTTCAGAGCCCTTCTTGTGTAAAAGCAAGATTTCCTCAAGATGGTATAGCCACAGAAAGATTCCCCCTTTGAGTGATGTTGAAACTGGGTAAGGTCTCTTTAACACAAAGGATGAAGGCAAGAATTGGTTAAAACTGATAAAGGGGCAGAAGCAGACTTCAGCAGAGACTGAACCCCTAAGGATGGTGAACTGGTCTGGTGAAGTAAGTTCCTTTGGGGCAGGAAGGGACTTGATATGAAATACTAGTGTAATCCTGTCTGCCAGAGTCCTGCGGTTTCAAGCTTTTAGTAAGACACTAAAGCAGTAGGCCGTAATACTGAGTGGGCTAGGCAGTTTGGGTCTCAATCAGGGGTGGACTGACAACTCATGGGGCCCCTGGGCAATAGGGGATCATGGGGCCCCTGTGTCCTTGCCCAAACTCAAAAAAGCCTATGAAAAAGGTACCAGGGGCATCTCATGGGGCCCCCTACTGACCTCGGGCCCTCGGGCAGTGCCCGAGTTTCCAAATGGTCAGTCCGCCCCTGGTCTCAATGTGACAACCTGTGGTGTAAGGTGTACTGAAATGAACTGAAATAAACAGTCACTTGCAGCTTGTGATGATCTGGGTTATGGAACCCTCTCAACTGGTTTGTAGCCTTTGCAGTGTAAGACGTAGTCTCTCTGTTGGGAGCTCCCATGTTCTCTTGGTTCCTCTGTTAAAAAGCAATGCAGATGACAGCACCCCGATTCGGCAATTGACTGCCCTGCTTGTCAGCCATTCCAATGGTCTGCAGTCCTTTCCTTCCTCACCAAGCAGCCCGATCCAGTCTGGATCCCTGGAGTCCTTCCTGTAAAGTTCCTGGGCTTCTCAATATATAGCTCTTCTGGGAAATGTAGTCTGTTCATTCCTTGTCTGAGTGCAGAAGTCCTGCTGCCACCATACAAGTTCAACAGGGCTTTGCTTTATTAGAGTCTGGATAACTGAACCACAGAATACTGCAATCTTGTGCTTAAATAACATCCTGCAACCAGTATTAATGCAGTGTGTTACCATAAATAGCAGTGTGTAGTACTTTTTCAGTTCCACCTTTCATGACAAACTATTCAATTACTAATTTTAACGAAAATTTAATAGACAAAAGAGCCTAGTGATATGATTTTTTTCCACTACAGATGGCTAAGTGTCTTTCTTTAAGTATTTCTGTTATTTTGATCCTCAAAATGACCATGCTATTTGTTTAACGATGCATTAGATACAACTCACCACTTTTGGGAGCTCACCACACACTTCATTTTAAGGTCTTCTTTCTTGAGATGAGCATGCTTTTCACTGTCCCTTCCTTTCTTTTGTTCGAAACCAGATGCAGAAACCTGACCTGTGTGCTTATGACATCTCCTTGGCTCTCTGTTTAAAATCAGCTCAGTGCATTGTATCAGTGCATAAGCAGAAGCGTTTACTAGTCCCTTATGAATTTCAGCATTCTGATTAATCCTGATTGCTGTTCAGATTTAACTTTTCTATATGTTTATCTATCTGCTGCCTTCCCTGGCCTTTCATTGATTTCTTATTACATTGGTCTGTCTTATGACCTATTGCCTGACTTTGACTACACATACATCTTAGAATTTGATCCCTTGTTCACCTGTTGCCTGCTTGTCAGTTGTCAGCAGTTTGGTAATTCCAAGATTAGCAGACTTGGACTGCCACACAATTTCCAACCCTCTTTGTTGGGGGTACTGGTAAAGTTTTCATTGCACTCTATACTTAGGTGAGATCCAGTAGGGTTTTCTCCATGGGCGCAATGCTTGCTGGGCACATGGGCCCCGAAGGGGGTGGGGTCCACTGTGCTCTCACACAGTGCCAAAAAAAGTGTGGACTTTGTATCTGTGCTATAGCCAGATGCTGATGCAATGCTAGGGGCAAGTCCCAATTTCCCGGGGTAGCAAGACTGTGATTAGCTGCTGCTTTGGCCTCCCTACCAGACCTAGGGAAAGGAAGGAAAGAGTTCATGTGGGGACAGCAAAAACCTTCATGAGTCCAGAGAGAAAAATGGTAAGCTGTACAGGGAAGGGCTGTCTGGGTGTACTGCAGTAGTATTCAACCTGTGGCCCTCGACCTCAAGTGCACTTATAAAATATATCTTGTGGGTTTGGTGCTCTTTCTGAAAGTGCACCACACCTGCAAGATATAATAGCAGTCAATGACAAAGAGCAGTTAACTCATAGGAAAGCCGCAGGCGCACTGTGC